CACCATGGAGCAGGCCTAAGCCAGGTGGTGGACATCCTCCGAGGGGTCCCAGACTGCAAGAGGGCATAGGTCGGGCTGAGGGACCCCCCCCCCCCCCCCCACCCCCCCCCGGCACCAGGGGGCCCCCCCCCCCCCGAGTGCAAAAATTTTTGTGCACCGGGCCTCTAGTCTTTATTATGAGATAGGAAAATATTTCTTAAACACAACACAAAAAACACCAAATAAAGAAAAAGAAAAGATTGATTATTAAAATTAGTAATTCTGATCATCAAAAGATACCATGAAGACAGTAAAAAGGCAAGCCAGAAGGAGGAAATATATTCAAGACTCATTTCTGAAATATAAAAAGAACTCATAACAAATCAGTATGTAAAAACACAGGCAACCTAGTACAAAAAGACTTGAAAAGGCTCTTTGTATAGGAGGATACCAGTGTTTAATAAATTCAATCTTATTAATCAAAGAATATGCAAATTGAAACATAATTAGATATCACTACCTAACTTACCATAATGATTAAAATATAAAAGACTTGACCACGTATTGGCAAGGATGTAGAGTAACTAGAAATTTCATATCATGCTGCTTACACAGAAATTGATACAAACATTTTAAAAAAACTCGTTTAGAACTATTTACTGAAGTTGACCCTGCAACATAACTACAAAAATAGAAAGTTATATTTTTTGTAAAATGTACTAGAAGTATAATAATATTCACAAGAGAATTATTCATATGGTCAAAAACTAGAAACAATGCAAATCTCCAACAAAAAAATAATTTGTGCTGTATATATTTCTAAATGGTCTACTATATAGCAATATAAATGAATAACTCGCTGCTATACACAATAATGAGTCTCACAAATATTATATTAAATAGAGGAAAGTAGATGGAAGATTACATATGGGATGTATTCTGGATGGAATGTTTGTGTTCCCCTCATATCATAACTCCCATTGTGATATGCCCTTATAAATGAAATAAGTGACCTTATAAAAGAGACCTCAGAGAGTTCTCTCACCTTTTCTGCCATATAAGGACAGAGCAAGAAGACTACTGTCTATGAATTAGGAAGAGCACCCTCTCCAGACACCAAAGCTGCTGATGCCTTGATCTTGGACTTTTCAATCTTCAGAACTATGAGAAATAAATGTTTGTTCTTTAAGCTACCCAGTCTATTATATTTTTGTTATAGCAGTCTGAAATGATGAAGGATGATTCCATTTATAAACTTCAAACAATAGGAAAAACTAATCTATGATGTTAGAAGTCAGGATAATAGATATCTAGTTGGAAGAAAAGAAAAGTAGTGAATCAAACTGTGACCTCCTGGCTCATGGGCCAAAGGAGGAAGCATAAGTAAGGCTTCTGTGTATTGAAAATGTCCCCTCCCTTCAACCCTCCTTCTGTCCCTCTCTCTCTTTTTTAATTGGGGCGACATCCTATATAATAAAAGCCTAATATGCTAAGTGTCCGGTCGTCCATTCAACCAATCAAAGCATAATATGCTAACAATATGCTAAGGCCGCTCAACCGCTTGCTATGATGTGCACTGACCACCAGAGGGCAGTCGACCAGTTGCTATGATGTCCACTGACCGCCAGGGGGCAGATGCTCCGACTGGTAGATTTGCTGGGGTCTGGCTGATGGGGAATGAGGCAGACTGGCTGGACATGCCTTGGAGCCCTCCCCAACTGGCCAACATCCTGTGTCCCTCCCTGGCCCCGATTGTGCACCGGTGGGGTCCCTTGGCCTGGCCTGCGCCCTTGTAATCCGGGACCCCTCAGGGGATGTCAGAGAGCCGGTTTCAGCTTGATCCTGCAGGCCAGGCTGAGGGACCCCACTGTTGCATGAATTCATGCACAGGGCCTCTAGTTGGTTAATAAAATTATATAGGTTTGCAGTGTACAATTCTATGATACATCATCTGCATCTGGCATTGTGTGTTTACCACTGAAAGTCAAATCTCCTTCTGTCACCATATATTTGACCCTACTTACAATTTACAACACCCCTTCCCCCCCACCCCCTTTCCCTTTGGTAAGCACTTTACTGATGTCTGTGTCTATGAGTTTTTATTTGTCTTGTTTGTTCATTTGTTCCCTTCAGTTTTATAAGTGAAATCATGATTCTTGAGTCGTTCTGTCTGACTTATTTTGCTTAGCATGCTTAGCATAATATTCTCAAGTTCCATCCATGTTGTGGCAAATGGCACTATTTCATCTTTTCTTATGGCTGAGTAGTATTCTATTGCATATATGTACCACATCTTCTTTATTCAATCGTCAATCAAAAGACACTTTGGTTATTTCTATGTCTTGGCCACTGTGAATAATAGCAATGTTCTATTTCTTGATCTTGGCAATGGTTAACTTGGTTCTCTAGTGATAGATCACTGAGCTCACTGAGATATGTAGCTGTATATCTATGTTTAATGTACTTGTCTGCATGTACTTGACACAAAATAAAATTTCAAAAGCTTATTTACCTGTTTTTTCTGTGTTCTGTTCCTGTTTTCCAGCCAATCATCCATTTGTTCCTCAATTTCTTCTATAGAAGTTCCATGATCATATGATTGAATATATGCACTTTCCAAAGGCGTATACACAGGAAATTCAGGTTTTGGTTTTTTTACTTTAACTTTCTTTGGCTCTAACAAATGTTTAAAAGAACAGAAATAATTTTTAACATTTTATTCATAGACCATATCTTGAAAGAACACCTATTTTTCATCGAACTATTTAGCTATAGATTTTAGTGTGCATTTTCCACTGCATATACATTGTTTTAACATAAAACTTAGAGGCCCTAGTTGGGTAGCTCAGTTGATTAGAGAATCATCCTGATACCCCAAGGTCGTGGGTTCGATTCCCAGTCAGGGCACAAACAAAAAGCAACCAATGAATGTATAAATAAGTGAAACAACAAATTGATGTTTCTCTCTCTCAAATCAATAAATAAAAATCAAAACAAAAAAATCCTCAGAGATGCTAATGATGAGATGATGATGATATAATCATCATATCAATTTGTATACATCTTTAGTTTTCAAAGTACTTTCCATATGATTTCAGTTATATGTGGAATCTGAAGAATAAAATAAATGAACAAACAAAATAGAAAGAGACTTATAGATACAGAGAACAGACTGATGAATGCCATAAGGAAGGGCCATTAGGGGGTTGGGTGAAAAAGGTGAAGGGATTAAAAAGTACTAATTGGTAGTTATGATAGGGATGTAAAGTAAAGCATAGGGAATATAGTCAACAATGCTGTAATAACTATGCATGGTGCCAGGTGGGTACTTGAAATATTGGTGGAACACTTTGTGAAGTATATGATTATATAACTGCTATGCTGTAAACCAGAAACTAATACAAAATAACATTGAATGTAAACTATAATTTAAAAATAAAATTTTTAAAAACTGGGGAAAAAGTACTTTACTAGTACATGAAACATTTCATTTCTGGCACAATTGAAAAAGCCTGGCCATTAGTGTTTTAATCCTACGTTTACCACCTAATAGTTAAATATTGGGCAAATAACTTAACTATTTAATCAAGTATCATTTTCTGATCTGTAAAAGATAGGTAAATCTAACCTCATAAGTTTGATGTGAAAAAAAATTATCCCCTATCAAACTACCTGGCACAAAATGGAATACATTTATCTTTTCAATATTTTACAAAGGCAAAATTAATCTGGCAGCATCAGGGGTAGTTATCAGTAGCTAGTTATCAACTGGCCTCTTCATTAAATCCCATTTTTATTATAGAGTTAACATTGAGAAGCAACTCCATTCTTAATTACTATTGTCAAAATCACACAGCCTTATAACCATATCTTTACCATCCTGTGTGTGTGTGTGTGTGTTTGCATATACTATAACTTAATAAAATTTATGGGCATAGGAACAGACAAAATCCTGGATGAGAATAGAGAACCTATAAATATTTAAATTCAGTGGGAAATGGATTTAATAAATGATGCTGGCACAACTAAATATCCATTTGAAAAAATAACAACTGGGACACATACATAAGTAAATCCCAGGTGGATAGGTGATTTGATTTAATACCAAAACAATAAAATCTTGCAATGAGAAATCTAAAAAAACTACCTGTACTATTTAAAGAAAGAGGAAATATTAACTAGGAACCCAGTTGCTATAAAAAAGATAAAAGATAGAATAACAAATCAAGAGAGAAATAACAGATTTGGAAAGAACTTCTACAAGTCAAAGTACAAACAAAAGATTGATAAATAGATTATATAAAGAGATTTTATAAAGTAACAAGGGGATAAACAGCCCAATAGAAATAAAAGGCCAAAAATAATGTACATTAAGAATATAGTGCCGTGGGAAACAGTTCTGTTTAGAAAGAATATTATCTTAATTAGAAATTATGTGGAATCTACTATTATATTTTATTTTATACTAGTGGCCCGGTGCACGAAATTCGTGCGGGTGTGTGTGTGTGTGTGTGTGTGTGTCCTCAGTCCGACCTACACCCTCTCCAATCTGGGACCGGCAGTTGGACATCCCTCTCGCAATCTGGTACCGCTGGCTCCTAACCACTCACCTGCCTGCCTGCCTGGCCACCTCTAACCACTCTGTCTGTCGGCTTGCTCGCCCCC